CCATGAAATTAAAAGATGCTTACTCCTTGAAAGAAAAGTTATGATCAACTTATACAGCATATTAAAAAGCCGAGACATCACTTTGCCAACAAAGGTCTGTCTGGTCAAGGCTATGGTTTTTCCAGTGGTCAGGTATGGATATGAGAGTTGAACTATAAAGAAAGCTGAGCACCAAAGAATTGATGCTTTTGAACTGTGGTGTTGGAGAAGACTCTTGAGAGTCCCTTGGACTGCAAGGAGATCCAACAAGTCCATCCTAACGGAGATCAGTCCTGGGTGTTCATTGGAAGGACTGATGCTGAAGCTGAAACTCCAATACTTTGGCCACCTCATGCGAAGAGTAGACTCATTGGAAAAGACCCTGATGCTGGGAAAGATTGAGGGCAGGAGGAGAAGGGGATGACAGAGGATGAGATGGTTAGATGTCATCACCGACTCAATGGACGTAAGTTTGGATGGACTCCGGGAGTTGATGATGGACAGGGAGGCCTGGCGTGCTGCAGTTCATGAGGTCACAATGAGTCGGACACGACTGAGCGACTGAACTGAACTGACTGATAAGGGAAAAAAATCTGAAAAAAATATATGTGTAACTGAACCATTTTGCTGTACATCTTAAACTAAACACTGTAAATCAATTAGACTTCAATTAAAAAAAAAGGAATATAGGTCTAAATATAAAGTTTAAACTATAAAACTTTTAGAAGAAAATAAGGACAATATTTATGTGACATACGTGTAGAGAAAGATTTCTTACCAGGTCCCAAAAGGAATAAACAAAACACATTTGTAAGTTAGATTTCATTAAAATGAAAGTTTCTATCATCAAAACGCATACTAAAAATAGTTTTCCAGTTCAGTTCAGTTCAATCACTCAGCTGTGTCAACTCTTAGCAACCCCATGGACCGTAGCACACCAGGCCACCCTTTCCATCACTAACTTTCAGAGTTCACCCAACTCATGTCCATCGAGTCAGTGATGCCATCCAACCATCTAATCCTCTGTCGTCCCCTTCTCCTCCTGCCTTCAGTCTTTCCCAGCATCAGGGTCTTAAAAAAAAAGTTTTTAAAAAGTAAAAAAAAAAATAAAATAAAAAAAGTGAAAAAGGCAAGTTTTAGGTCAAGAGAATGTATTCATGGATCGTGTATTTGACAAAAGACTGGTATCCAGGATACATGAAACCTCCTACAATGAATTATAAAAAGACAAAAATGTGTTGAAATGAGCAAATCATTAGAAAAAGCATACCACTAAAAAAAGACCTTGATACTAGGAAAGATTTAAGGCAGGAGGAGAAGGGGATGACAGAAGATGAGATGGTTGGATGGCATCACCCACTCAATGGATATGAGTTTGAGCAAATTCTGGGAGATGGTGAATGACAGGGAAGCCTGTCATGCCACAGTCCATAGGGCCACAAAGAGTTGGACATGACTTAGTGACTGAACAACAACAAAGAAGACTTGCAAATGGGCAATAAGTACATTATAATGTACTCAATATTTATTGGCTATTAAAAATTAAAATTAAAGCATCAGTGAGATACCATTAGCCTTCTAACACAACTATCACAACTGCTAAAACTATAAAGACAAATAACAGATGTTGGTAGGATGTAGAACAAATAGAATTTTCATAGTAGGTTGGTGAGAGCATATTGATTTGAAAGGAGTTTTGGCATTTTCCTATGAAGTTAGATATATACTTTATGACCAAGCAATTCCAATCCCAGGTATATGCCTAAAAGAAATGAAATCATGTGTCCACCAGAAGTACTCTTGGTCTCTGTATTAGGGTTCTGCAGTGAATCAAAACCAATAAGGGGTGTGTGTGTGTGTGTGTGTGTGTATTTATTAGCTTAAAGAACTGGCTCACACATTTGGGGAGACTGGCAAGTCCAAAATCTGCAGGGTAGACTGCAGGCTGGCAAACAGGGAGAGCTGATATTGCAACTCCAGTCCAAAGACAGCCTGGAAGAAAACATTCCTTTTCTTTGGGGGACCTCAGTTTGCTTTCTCCTAAAGTCTTTAGCTGACCGGATGAGGCATACCCACATTATGGAGAGTAATTTGCTTTGGTCAAAGCCTGATTTAAAGGTTAATCTCATCTAAAAAAATAACCTCATGGCAACATCCAGAACACTAATTGACCAAATATCTAGAACCTGTGGCATAGGCAAGTTGACCTGTAGCTAGAACTATCACAGCCTGTCAATGAGAATGGATATTTTTCTACAATGAAAGTACAACTCATCAAAACAACAACAAACAACAAAGTAAGAATTTTTGTTGAGCTCCTCTCCAAGTGGGAAAAGAGTTCTTCTGAATCACTTCTTACATCATTTTGACTAGAATTCTGTGGTTTCATTATCATACACAGACACATAAGTGATTCTAAGGCATAAAGCTGTTTCTCCTTTGCCAATGTGTATATACTTTTTACTTGGGTTAAATAAAAACAAATATATATGAACACAATATAAAAAGAAGACAATTTTATCAAGGGGAGCTTTGCTGCATAAAATAACTGAAAATTAAATACATTATTTGGTAGCCAAAGGAGAAAAAGGTATAGAAATTTTTTTTTTCAGAATATTTTTTATATTTAACCTTGATTCACATAGGTAGTGTAAATATATCATAACTAGTTAAAGTATTACTGTGTATATTTAGGGATACATAGAATTTTGAATATTTAGAATATTATTTATTTATTTAGAATATTATTTAAAATACTTAAAATATTATTTCTAGTTAGGATTTTAGAATATTATTTATTATATTTAGAATATTATTTTTATTTAGAACAAATAAAATTTAGAATATTATTTACAATATTATTTAGAATATGTAGAATATTGGAATATTTAGAATATTATTTATTTTTAGATTAAAATATTATTATTTTAGAATATTAAGAACACTTTTGTTATAGATTATTATTTAGAATATTATTATTATAATTCTCAAAGTTTAAATGACTTTAAAAATTAGCATATTTTGAATTTCAAGTATGTCTCAACTTTGAAGAAATGTATTTATTTTATTCAGTTTAAAAATAATTTATGTATTGATTTCAAATTACTTATGCTGACTAAAAATAGAATTCATGTTTGCTAATTCCTATTAAAATGGAAAGAGGAAGGCTTGTGAAGTAATACTAACAGTTTATTAACTGAAAAAAGCACATGGGCCCACCTATCCAGGAAGGATGTTGTGGAGAACAGGGTGGTGTGGACAGGGTTGGACAGCTGTCATGAAGTGACCCAACTCTGTAGGTCAGAGAGGGTATTGCTGGAAGGACGGTTCTATGTCTACATTCCCTGGGGTAATAGTTGTCCCTGAGGGTTTCAGGCAAATGATAAAACCTCAGATCCCTGTTCCCCATCACTCTGATAGTTCTATTGTGATGGATTCATTGTAGCTCATGAGAACTCCATCTGAAGCAAGTGAGTGAAACTGTATTACTGTGGGGTGAAATTAAAGGGGGTGGGAAGAATTGCTATATCTATTTTACATCATAACTAGGTGTTATGAGGCCTAACAGAGGCTGAAAATATTAAGACCTTGGTTTAGTTTGAAATAGACCCAGCTGGAAAGGATAGAGCAGCTGCATGCTAGAACCACTGATACAGATTCATAAAAAATGAAATTGTGCAATTGTACATATTTCTTTCAGACAGCATACTCAGTGATACCATATTAGTAGTTTGCAACAAGCTGTGGTGGGAATACATAGATCATATAAATCAGAAAACACTACAAAACAGCTTTGTTTTATTTTATTTATATGTATATATGTAGTATGTATGCATATATGTATTTATTTATTTTGATAAGTCATTTACCAGTACACTACTGGATCAGAGTTACATTTATGCAATGTTCTAGTAGAATGGAAAGTTCTATAAAGGAGGGGGGAGTGAGGCAACACCGAAAATGAGGGAATCTTTAGCTCTTATTGTTCCAAAGAACCCTGAGTACTAAAAGAAAAAGTTCTACATTGGCCTGCAGATCCTGACCACTGTGAACATCCAAGGTATTTATTTAATGGTTTGCTCATGATTTTATTGCCCTGATCTATCATTTCACCCATGCAATATTTGTTATGGGATTTTTTGTTAGGCATTTTGAGGACTATGCTATGTTTCGGAGTGCTAGGTTTTGAAAATGAGCAAAGGAAGTCATGCAAGCCACAGTAAGTTCACAATCAATTGGGGAGATCATCAACAGCTAATCAGATGTACTCCTATCCATGAGATAGATACTCTAATATAAGGCTCCCTGTGAAATCAGGGAAAAGAGTAAATGAAGGGGAGATGTGTTACGCACATGATGAGAAGTACTCTGAATAGGGCTAATTGTCTTAGAACAAAACACAAAGATTGAGTTGACCTCTCAGGATGCTGAAGACATTTAGATCACAACCATGAAAACCTTCATGAAGCCTCTGAGAAGTCTTTTAGAATGATGTTGGATTAGACAGCCAATCACTCCAGTACATGCATGTTTACTTATGAACTATGCCTTATTTTGAGTTCCTTGCTCTATTCTGTGCCTCTCATAAGAAAAGCTTTTTGCCACTCCTTCTCCCTATTGGTATATTACATTATATTCAAGAGCTATTTCAGATATATACTTATTCTTTAGAACTTGAAAAATACAGAAAACATTACTTCTCTTGTGTCACTGTATTAATTTTTTGTACAGCTAACATATTAACTTCATAATTGCATTTTCTATAGTTATAAAAGTGTCTATATTGTTTTTGTGATTAAGATCTCATTTAGAGAACAAGTGTCTTCATCTCTCTATATGACATCCTTAGATAGCATATCTTCTTCATCTTTATATATAACATAGCTCATGGCATCTTCTGAACAGAATGGGATCAGGAAGGCACCAAGGTGCTGGTGATATTAAAGAAAATCTTTGAATATAATTTTCATTCTTTTCTGTCTCTGCACATAGATGGTGGAGTCCCAGTCATCTCATCAAACATGACTGCCTTAAACTATACTGGTGTCAGTCACACAGTCTTCCACTTGCTGGGCATCCCTGGCCTTGAGGACCAGCACGTGTGGATCTCCATCCCCTTCTTCATTCCCTATGTCACCGCCCTGCTTGGGAACAGCCTGCTCATCTTCATTATTGTCACAAAGCGCAGCCTCCATGAACCCATGTACCTCTTGCTCTGCATGCTGGCTGGAGCAGACCTTGTCCTCTCCACGTGCACAGTCCCTCAGGCCTTGGCCATTTTCTGGTTCCATGCTGGGGAGATCTCTCTTGATCGTTGCATTACTCAGGTATTCTTCCTCTCTTCCACTTTCATCTATGAGTCAGGGATCTTGTTGGTGATGGCATTTGACCGCTATATTGCCATTTGCTCTCCGCTGAGATATACCACTGTTCTTACACGTACACAGATTGGGAAAATTGGTGTCACCTTATTTCTGAGAAGTTGTTGTACAGTTTTCCCAGTGATATTTCTCCTGAAAAGACTGACTTTCTGCAAAAGTAACATCCGCCCAAACACTGCTTGTAAGCACATTGTCTTGGCCCATCTTTCCTGTGATGACATACGAGTAAGCATCTGGTATGGGTTTTTGGTCCTGATGTCAACCTTGGTCATAGATGTTGTGCTCATTTTTATTTCTTATGTGCTGATTCTCCATGCTGTCTTCTACATCCCTTCCCAAGATGTTCGTCACAAAGCCCTCAACACATGTGGCTCCCATGTCTGTGTCATCATCCTCTTCTATGTACCTGGCATCTTCTCAGTCCTTGCTCAGCGATTTGGACATCACATCTCACCCCATATCCTTGTCCTCCTGTCCAATGTCTATATTCTGGCTCCACCCATGCTGAACCCCATCATTTATGGGATCAAGACCAAACAAATCAGGGACCAGGTGATTCATGTGTTCTTTACAAAGCAGAAATGAACATGTTGATGGAAACTAACCTTGTGCTGTTCTTAACAATTCTCTCTGTGCATGAGGTGAGTTTTAGTATCAATCTGCTTTTCTTTTCAGTTTTTTTCATGATTGACATTCACAAAGATTTTCTTCTTTTTATGCCTAATTCTTTAAAATTTTATACTTATTATGCTCATAAAGGAGATGGTTGGGTAGCATCATGAACTCAATCCACATGGACTTGTGCCAACTCCAGGAGATAGTGAGGGACAGGGAGGCCTGGTGTGCTGTGGTCCCTGGGGTTGCAAAGAGTTGAACATGACTTAGTGACTGAACAACAGTTGCTCATATAAATCTATAAAGGCTACAGATAATGTTATCTTTCATCAGAAGTCTTTTTTCTATCTTCTTTTATAGAGATAATGTAAAAGCTGATCACTTCATTCCCATGTTAGGGTTGGTTTTCAGTTTTAGTCACACTCAGCTTGTCTTCTATGCTCTTATTTCTAGGACAGAACTATTCAGCAATTTAAACTAAGAAACTGGAGGACACTTTTCTCCTCATCTTAAAAGTGGAAGATTCAGTTCTTCCTTTCAGAGATGTTTTAACTTAGCTTTCTAGACTCCAGTCTTTGCAGCTTCAAAACTTGGAAAGTGACAGAATTGAGAAGTCAGAATACAGAAACTCCTCACACTGGCAAGTTTTCTATCGTAGGAATCATAAGAATGCAAAAGATTTCATACTGCCTTTTACATATTGTCTGGGTTTAGATCCCCAGCACCTAATGCAGCCACAGTAGTCAGCAAATGTCTCATAGGAAAACCTAGGTGTGCATTTGAGGCCTCCGAGGTTTGAAATTTTTACTGCAATTTTGTATGGATGCTAAAACTCTGCTGGCTTCTGTGTGCCCCAGGAGAATCGCTCCTCCTGGGTCAGGATCAATCCTCAGCCCATGTCCAGAGATAGCAAATAGTTCTCTGGAAGGAAAAGTGGTTAGCAAATGTCAACTTGCTTTTGCATGGTTCTCCTGTTTCTTAAGTTTTGTTCATTTGGTCTGTGTTACTTTCCTAGCTCTCTGATGGTTTAATATATAGTTCTTAAAATTTCTCTTTTTCTTATTGCCACAATGGAAACATTATCATGCCATGTCCTACTGTGTCATATCCAAAAGAAAGATTTCAGACTGATTGATGTTTACCTTGACAACCCCAAAATAACAAACCAATAACATTTAGACTGAAGAGAATAAATATATATGCGTTTACATCACTGAGATCTATTATTTCTACCATTTTCATCTGAATGCAAAAAAGTCATAGTTCCTTTAATCACAATTTGAAATTCATTTAATTTTGGATTTTAAGTATTCCTCAACTTGTAGTAGCATATATGTATATACATAAAATGCAAAATGAAGTACTTTTTGAGTCTTAACCTGCATCAAGAATATACACAAAATAAAGAGACCAACTTACCTTAGTATTTTAAAAGATTACAATCCTGAACCTAATAAAATTTGCCTCTGCATTCTATTTTACTCTTGTGGTACATTATTTCCATCATACCAAGAAAATAAAAGTATTACTTAGTGTCTTAATTATCTTATATAGTGTATTTCTCATAGCCACACATTTCCCCCCAAAACAGGACCATTTTTAAGGATATCATGAATTTCTAGGCTTTTTTTTCATCCACCAATCCTGTCAGGTCAATCCATCATTTCTGAGAAATTTGTTCAGTTCAGTTCAGTTGCTCAGTCATGTCCAACACTTTGCGACCCCATGGACTGCAGCACACAAGGCCTCCCTATCTATCATCAACTCCCAGAGTTTACTCAAACTCCTGTCCATTGAGTCAATAATGCCATCCAACCGTCTCATCCTCTGTCATCCCCCTCTCCTACTGCCTTCAGTCTTTCCCAATATCAGGGTCTTTTCAAGTGAGTCATCTCTTCACATCAGGTGGCCAAAATATTGGAGTTTCAGCTTCAGCATCAGTTTTTCCAATGAACACTCAGGACTGATCTCCTTTAGATGGACTGGTTGGATCTTCTTGAAGTCCAAGGGATTCTCAAGAGTCTTCTCCAACATCACAAAAGCTTCAGTTCTTTAGCTCTCAGCTTTCTTTATGGTCCAACTCTCACATCCATACATGACTACTAGAAAAACCATAGCCTTGATTAGGCAGTACTTTGTTGGCAAAGTAATGTCTCTGCTTTTTAATATGTTGTCTAGGTTGGTCATAACTTTTCTTCCAATGAGTAGGTGTCTTTTAATCTCATTGCTGCAGTCACCATCTGCAGTGATTTTGGAGCCCCCCCAAAATAAAGTCTGCCACTGTTTCCACTGTTTCCCCATCTATCTGCCATGAAGTGATGGGACCAGATGCCATGATCTTAGTTTTCTGAATGTTGAGCTTTAAGCTAACTTTTTCACTCTCCTGTTTCAGTTTCATCAAAAGGCTCTTTAGCTCTTCACTTTCTGCCATAAGGGTGGTGTCGTCTGCATATCTGATGTTATTGATATTTCTCCTGGCAATCTTGATTCCAGCTTGTGTTTCATCCAGCCCAGCGTTTCTCATGATGTACTCTGCATATAAGTTAAATAAGCAGGGTGACCATATACAGCCTTGACGTACTCCTTTTCCTATTTGGAAGCAGTCTGTTGTTCCATGTCCATTTCTAACTGTTGCTTCTTGACCTGCATACAGAGTTCTCAAGAGACAGGTCAGGTGGTCCGGTATTCTCATTTCTTTCAGAATTTTCCACAGATTATTGTGACCCACACTTTCAAAGGCTATGACATAGGCAATAAACAGAAATAGATGTTTTTCTGGAACTCTCTTGCTTTTTTGATAATCCACCTGATGTTGGCACTTTGATCTCTGGTTCCTCTGCCTTCTATAAAACCAGCTTGAGCATCTGGAACTTCACAGTTCACTTATTGATGAAGCTTGGCTTGGAGAATTTTGAGCATTACTTTGCTAGCGTGTTAGATGAGTGCAATTGAGAGATAGTTTGAGCATTCTTTGGCACTGCCTTTCTTAGGGATTGGGATGAAAACGGACCTTTTCCAGTCCTGTGGCCACTGCCGAGTTTTCCAAAGTTGCTGGCATACTGAGTGCAGCACTTTCACAGCATCATCTTTTAGGATTTGAAACAGCTCAACTGGAATTACATCACCTCCACTATCTTTGTAGTGATGCTTCCTAAGGCACACTTGACTTCACATTTTAGGATGTCTGGCTCTAGGTGAGTGATCACACCATAGTGATTATCCGGGTTGTGGAGATCTTTTTTGTATAGGTCCTCTGTGTATTCTTGCCACCTCTTCTTAACTACCTACCATTTCAATCAACAATTTCATTCTTCTTCTGAAGAGAACATAGTGGCAAATCACCCTATACTTTATATTGTAGTACCTTTATTACATTGGCCACAATGGTGCAGTTTGTGTTTAAATCAACGGTCATTTTTATATTTTTAAATATCATTTGAAAATGGTTCACTGTTCTGTCTTCTCTCTACTTTGCTTCCAGGACATCAATTTCCTCCTATAACTTCCCAGTGATTTTCCAAGAATCAACCAGGAGAAAGAAATCTACAAATCAAATGTTCAAATCTTAAACTTCTTTTCCCATATAGACCTTTGCAGAGTATTGAGTAGAGTTCCCTGTGCTACTATATAGCAGGTCCTTATTAGCTATGTACTTCTTATATATGTGCGTATGTCTGACTTTCTTTTCTTTTAACTCTTCAATGTCATTTTAGGTATAGACCCTTTGAAATGTTTTTTTCCCCCTCAAAATGCCAAAAATGTTCTATTTTTCTATGGCTTGCTACTTATCAGATAAGTCTCAGCCAAATATACTCTTCCCAGTGAACACTTCCTCTGACCGTATGTTTTAATTACATATGCCTAAAATATGCCTCAATATGCCAGCAAATTTGGAAAACTCAGTAGTGGCCACAGGACTGGAAAAGGTCAGTTTTCATTCCAATCCCTAAGAAAGGCAATCCCAAAGAATGCTCAAACTTCTGCACAATTGCACTCATTTCACACGCTAGTAAAGTAATGCTCAAAATTCTCCAAGCCAGGCTTCAGTAATACATGAACCGAGAACTTCCAGATGTTCATGTTGGATTTAGAAAAGGCAGAGGAACCAGAGATCAAATGGCCAACATCCTTTGGATCATCAAAAAGCAAGAGAGTTCCAGAAAAACACCTGTTTCTGCTTTATTGACTACGCCAAAGCCTTTGACTGTGTGGATCACAATAAACTGTGGAAAATTCTGAAAGAGATGGAAATACCAGACAACCTGACCTGCCTTTTGATAAATCTGTATGCAGGTCAGGAATCAACAGTTAGAACTGGACATAGAACAACAGGCTGGTTCCAAATAGGAAAAGGAGTATGTCAAGGCTGTATATTGTCA